ATCTAACCGTCCCCTCTTATAGGTCCACCAGCCAACCCAAGCGTCGCTAGAGATTACTCCCCCTACCTTCTTAGTCTTGATTCATCCGCTACGCGCCAAACACCTGGACTGAACTCTGCCGTGGGTTTTGCCCCTCATCCCTGCCCGCTGCATTCCTCGCCTTAATTTAATTGGTCAGTCTTCGACCCGCTCCGCTGACCTCCATTGTGTTCCACGTCTTAATTTATATGCTACCCGCCAAACACCTGGACTGAACTCTGCCGTGGGTTTTTCCCCTCACCCTGTCCACCTGGACTGAGGCTGAACTCTCTACAATATTCCACATTTGGTTGACACATTTTAGGTCATTTCAGCATGCAATGTTTTTGGGGATTAAGAAAGATAAATGTTGAGGGGATCTCAGGTCATTCATTCACCACATACCTCCATTACTGAATTTTTTACTAAAAAAAAATGTTGCAATAATTTTTAAAAATTTTTTAGTGTTTTTATGAAAAAAATATTAGCCTCACAAATTTCAGCCACAAACCACCCCCTGTCAAGCATGTGGCTTTTTCCTGTAGGGCTTTTAAAAATAGGAGAGCTGTTATCTGGGTAGAGGGTTGTCTTTCAGTGTGCATCCATTTGAAAGTACCAAAAATATCAGTTTATAAATAACATGCTTGTCCAGCTCCATGAATCCATGTACCGTAGGCATTTATGTGGAACTGACAGCCAACAAACCAAGACCCACAAATGAACTTTGATGTTTATAGAGATATAGTTTCTTGAGGCTTAGATATATTTTCTTGAGACTTCAACATTTTAAGGATAATCTCAATTATCACTTTTAGGTTTAAATAATTTCTTTATCAATGTCGTTGAAATGGCCTGTGAATGGTCATAGATCCGGGAAAATTAGAACAAGAAGTCATGTCTTATGTGATGCAATAATAATAGTATGTGATATGACTGTTTCCTGAATCGGGCATAAGTAATCTCAATCAGCAAATTGGTTAATCAAAGCTTTTCTTCATCTCTCCAAACTCTGTGCAGGCCAACAGTCCCGTCACTTGTGTAGATGGTCGCAAAGTTCAAGTTGTGGACTCATCCACTGCCATGCTGTCCATCCCTAATGTGAGTCTCAGTGAAGCTGGGGTTTTCGATTGCTGTGTAGCACGCAACGGCTGCGGTGACCCAAAGTTCCACTCAGTTGGTAATACAGAGGATATTTACATTCAATGTAAGTGGAAATGATAAAATAAACAGTTATTTCAAACAACTGAAAACAGGACAAGTGAACACATGAAAACTGATCACAAAGCATCTGAACACAGGACAAGTAAACCCAAAGACAGGTGAACCCACAGAAAAGTGACCATGCAGACAATAGACCACACAGACCAATAACTGCACAGATAAGTGTGAACACATTGACAAGTGACCACACTGACAAGTGTGAACATAGGACAAGTTCACACACATAACAAGTGACCAATCAGACAACTGACCACACAGACAAGTGTGAAAACACAGACAAGTGTGATACACACATTCAAGTGACCACATGGACAACTACATACACACAAAAAATATTAAACAAATGTTCATGCACCTAACTAATCTGGTGCCATGCCCCAACTGTCTGGGGTGCCATGCCCCAACTGTCTGGGGTGCCATGCCCCAACTGTCTGGGGTGCCATGCCCCAACTGTCTGGGGTGCCATGCCTCAACTGTCTGGTTGGGGTGCCATGCCCCAACTGTCTGGGGTGCCATGCCCCAACTGTCTGGGGTGCCATGCCCCAACTGTCTGGGGTGCCATGCCCCAACTGTCTGGGGTGCCATGCCCCAACTGTCTGGGGTGCCATGACCAATTAAGTTTGTTACCCTGGGATTAACAAAGATGCCGTATCAAATTTTGTCATCGGATTCTGGAAAACTTAAACATTTGAACTGGTTTCCTTGGGAGCAGGCTGGTTGACAGGAATTAAAAAAAAAAAATTTGTACCCATCCTGGGGAACAGAAACTGGTTTGATGACTTTCTCAGAAATTGTGCTCATTAGCAATATTGGCCAATATCCAAGCCCATCGGACCTAGAAGAAAATGGTGGTGTCTGATGTTGGTGCTACCCAGTGCTAGGGTCATGGTGCTACCCTCCTCCTATTCAGACTTCCCCATGGACCTTACTGAGTCTCCCTGCTCGTGTGACACCATGCTCTTCATGGAAAATGATAGTAGCTATTTCTATCCCCATCCTCCACACATATAAGTGTAGTGGATTAGGCTAGAAATAGTTGCTCCAAGATCTTATCAGTGTGGAGGATGAGGCTAGAAATAGCTGCCCCAAGACCTTTAAGTGTCAAGGATGTGGCTAGAAATAGCTTCCCCAAGATCTTATATGTATGGAGAATGAGGCTAGAAATAGCTGCCCCAAGATCATACATGTGTGGAGGATGAGGCTAGAAATAGCTGCCCCAAGATCTTATATGTATGGAGGATGAGGCTAGAAATAGCTGCCCAAAGATCTTATATGTGTGGAGGATGAGGCTAGAAATAGCTGCCCCAAGATCTTATATGTGTGGAGGATGGGGTTCGAAAATAGCTACTGTCATAGTCTTCGAAGTTGGGACATATTTAACATTTGTTTTCAAAGTTCAGAGCGAAAAGGGTTTAACATTTTTTAAAATTATCTAAAAAGAGCTTTAATAAAGAAGAGTTTATTGTTTCTGGAGGTTCTTAACATTGATAAATATTGCAGACTGATACATTTGTGCCTGATCTTAAATTTGATTTTAATCACAATTCCCCAAAAATTCCTTTACAAACCAGCTTAGTTGATATTTATTTTTCAGGATTTATTGTCTACAATATTTTAGAAATGTAAAAATAAAATCTTGATGATAAACTTCAGATCAACCTGAGAATGTGACTGACTTTAAGTGTTTCATCTACAACTGGGATGATCACATGAATTGTACCTGGACAAATCCTGTTCCTTATGCAGAATATGTTCCAAGAGATACATTTTTTCTCATAAAGGAAGGGGAGCTAAGCAAGTAAGTTCACAGAGAATCCTGAGTTGTTATCTTTGTTAATGTTTATAAAGTAAAGTTAAAATAAATAACATAATTATTGCTTTCTAGTTTTACTATAAAAACATATATTTAGTGCTTTCTAGTTTTACTATAACTTACATATATTTAGTGATTTCTAGTTTTAATATCATTAACATATATTTATTGCTTTCTAGTTTTGTTATAATTAAAAATATTTTTAATAATTTCTAGTTTTATGTTAAAAATATTTAGTGATTTCTAGTTTTCCTATTTTATAAAAAAAAATTATTGGAACATCTATGTTCTTGGGTGAGAGTGGTCTGATCAGCTGAAGCTTTACAATTGAAATAAAAATTTACTAATTCATGGTTATTTTCAGAATTTTTGGTTAAATTCAAATATTTCATTTCTCTTGTTACACAAATGAAAAAAAACCTTAATTTCTCTGCAAGAATTTATACCAGTAATTATATTGATAGACTTCAATATTTTCCATCAAAGTATTTATAGCAGCTAAAGTTGCTTACCTTCAGACTGTTCTTCCTCTCCAGTGTAACGCTGTGTCCACAGAATGATTCTGTGTCATGTGTGTGGCCAAAAGATCATTTCCAACTGAAAGACACGTATACCATCACTGTTGAAGTCTGGAACACAAAGACCGAGATTCACACAAGTCAAGTTTTTACCCTTAATGCTGATGAAATAGGTGATACTAAATATGACAATTTTTACCTTTTATGCTGAGAAAATAGGTGATAATAAACATGACAATTTTACCCTTTATGCTGAGTAAATGGGTGATACTAAATTTTACCCTATATACTGATAAAATATGTGATACTAAATATAACAATTTTCACTTAATTCTGATGAAATAAGTGATACTAAATAATGACAATTTTTCCCTATGTGCCGATGAAATATGTGATACTGAGAAAATTTTACCCTATATGCTAATGAAATACATGAACTGAGAAGGGTTGCACTGATTACCTAATTACCAATGAATCGGCTACTAAGGCCCCTTTAAAAGGCATTTCAAATCTATTTACAAAATAATTAATCGACGACCGGGGCAGGGTGATTAGCAGTCGATTAAATGGAAAAATGTGTGTTAATTTTTATGAGATTAATAATATTTCTACACAAAAAAAAATCACTTAAGGATGTTGTCAAAACATTTGACCTGATGTCAAAATATTCGACCTGATGTAAAAATATTCGTGCTCATATCGAATATTTCGCCTTGTCTAGGGTTGATGAGCTGAAGATCTTAGGGTTGCGACGAACTATCTACGCGTATGGTCAGACGACCATTAGGATCTCGAAGTTCCTCTAATTAGCGCACTCGTACTCTATCTTCGTCCAAGGCACTACACTCTGACTCCATTAAATAATACTCTGAGCTTATTAGCTTGATCACATATATCATGTCATGCAACATCACCTACAAAATCCGGAGATACACAGCAGTTATCACTATTTCACAAAATAGCTCTGCCAGACTCGGCAACACACCTCTTGTCCGTGACCATAATACAGCTCTCCCCTTAAAAATAATTCTCTCCCCTTGTACAACCTACAATTCACACGACACCCGCCCATGACTTGAAAACATAACCCCATTGTCACAACACACGCTGAATCGTTGATTCCATGACCTTGATAGATGTTACAGACGTGAAAATGGGTTAAGAGTTTCTTCTTCCGATAAAAGAATTCTGTTTTTTTTAACGATTTTGAGTTAATATTGTAGAGAAGCGAGGCAAATGTTTAATGATAATCTTTATGAAGATACAAATATATCGAATTATGATAATATATAATATATTTAAAAGGGTATTTTAACATTTTTTTGGGGGTAAATTCAAGGAAACATTTTTACAGAAAAACAAAATGTAGTTCAGGGGTGCGAAAAGGGGGAGGGTGAACCCCAATATTATATAGTATATAAATATTTCTAAACAATGATGCTAGAAATGTAAACATCATTACATAGATACATCTTTTTAAGTAAGAAATTCTGATTCATTATTTCCTAAACATACATCTCAAGGAAATTGAATATTGTCATTGTTTTATTTGTTTTTACATAATGCAAAACATCAAAACCTGTTTCAGTTGTATACGTAAAAATTAGATTCTTGGTGTAGAGACTTCAAAAAAAATGCCTAATATTATTATTCCGGTAACATAGGGTCATATATTCCAGAACTGAAATATCATTCCAAAAATGAAGTTAGATATTTTCTGTTGAAAATTGACAAAATACTGAATGTTGCGCATTGTTTTGCACACCAAATTTTATTGTGTGTTGATGTCTTGTGGTTATGCAGTCCTTGTGGAGTGCCCCATGTTGGATGGGACTCCATATTGTTCTCTTAAAATTAAGTTGAACTAACCTTGATGATTGCCATTGCTTGTTTCATTATCTTCCTTGTGAAGTTGGATTAGCAACTTATATATTTTGAAGTGGATTAGCAACATAATATTTTCAACATTTTTAATACTTTTTTCAAAGTACTTAAAAGAACAATGTTTTCATGATAATTTCAAAACCCTGGGGGAAAAAAAGTCTGTCATGCTTGACATGTTAACTCTGGTTAAACAATTTCTGAAGGTGTAAAACTGTCTTTAGGACTATTGTTTGAGGCCCGCAGGTAGGGTATAACACTATCAGTCGGCTTATTTCTCAAAATACCTGGACCCTGTGTAAAAAAACAAACTACACCTGGTTAAGCCCTAGTGTAATATATTTCTTAAAGAAAATTGTTTGATTTATGCACAGGCACACACACAATCTGAACATGATATTTGTTAATCTGGCATAATGAGAACATGATTTTTGTTAATCTGACATAATGATAACATGATTTTCGTTCATCTTATGTTGCAGTTAAGCCAGCCCCTGTGAAACATCTTTCAGTTAAAGTACTGTCACTGTCTGACCCTTGCCTTGAGTTGTCATGGACTCAGGAATCTCATGGGCGAACAGTTTATAGAATATCTCAGCAAAAGAAAGTAGATTCCGAATTCAAGGTTAGATATTCCTTTTTCTTTGTTGATTCTTATTTCGTATTTGATACTTACAAATTGTGTGATTGATACTTACAAATTGGGTATTTGATACTTACTTACAAATTGTTTATTTGATACTTACAAATTGTGTATTTGATACTAACTTACAAATTATGTATTTGATACTTACAAATTGTGTATTTGATACTTACAAATTGTGTATTTGATACTTACTTACAAATTGTGTATTTGATACTTACTTACAAATTATGTATTTGATACTTAAAAATTGTTTATTTGATCTTACAAAATGTGTATTTGATACTTGAAAATTATGTATCTGAATTTTAAAAAGTATACATTATGAATAATGATGACAGACCGATGAAATTAATAATGATAATATCATATTGATGACATGATAATAATGAAAGGATTGATAACATGATACTGATCACATGATATTAATGGCAGGATAATGATGATATGATAATAATGAAATGATAATGATGACATGATAATGATACCCTTTTCCTGCAATACTAGGTCATTACTGACAATGAAACAAGCAACTCATACAAGATCTGTGATTATTTGCCATTCTCAAATTACTCATTCTCTGTGGATTGTCATCCTCTAGACTTCAAAGGATATTGGAGTGAATCAGAGATTTTAAATAATTTTAGAACTCCTGAAAGAGGTACTAATTTTAGACTTTAGGCAAGTATTTTTATTAGTGGCTAGGCCACTATTTTAAACTATAGGCCAGTATTTGTATTAGTGGCTAGACCACCAGTTTAAACTAGGCCAGTTGTTATATCATTAAATCAGTGGCTAGGTCACCATTTTAAACTATAGGCCAATTCTTTTATCAGTGGCCAGTCCACCATTATAAACTATAGGCCAGTTCTTGTATCAGTGGCTAGGCCACCATTTGAAACTATAGGCCAGTACTTGTATTAGAGGCTAGGCCACTAATTTAAACTATAGGCCAGTACTTGTATTAGTGGTTAGACTACCATTTTTAATATGTAGTCTTTCACTATATAAGCAATAGCATCTTAAATCTATAAAGCTATTGTCCTTTCCCAGCTCCAACGTCTGGCCCAGTAACAACAAACGGAAGTTATAACACTTCAGATTGCATGAATGGTCTTCGAAATGTTACTGTGTACTGGCAGGTCAAGTATCAATAATTTTAGATGTTTTGTTTCTTTTATTTTAGACTATGGTAACACTATATTACTATTTAATTGAAACCTAATGTTGGACTATGGTAACACTATATTACCCTTTAGATGAAACCTAATGTTGGACTATGGTAACACTATATTACCCTTTAGATGAAACCTAATATTGGACTATGGTAACACTATATTACCCTTTAGATGAAACCTAATGTTGGACTATGGCAGACCTGTTTACTCTTACGATTTTGGCGTACAATGTACGATTTAGAGGTGTATAATTATTTGTACTGTATGTTTATTTTTTTACTTTTAAGATGTATTGAACGATTTTGTGATGATATTTTATGATTTTAAGAGTTTGAGGGTAAACAGGTCTGCTATGGTAACACTATATGACCCCTTAGATGAAACCTGCTGCCCATGGTGGTAAAGTTACTGTCTACTGCCCATGGCAGCAATGTGACTGACTACTTCCCATGGTGGTAAAGTGACTGTCTACTGCCCATGGTGGTAAAGTGGCTGTCTATTGTCCATGGTGGTAAAGTGGCTGTCTACTGTCCATGGTGGTAAAGTGACTGTCTACTGCCCATGATGGTAAAGTGACTGTCTACTGTCCATGGTGGTAAAGTGACTGTCTACTGTCCATGGTGCGAAAGTGACTGTCTACTGTCCATGGTGCGAAAGTGACTGTCTACTGTCCATGGCAGCAAGATGACTGTCTACTGTCCATGGTGGTAAAATTCCCGTTCACTAGCGCTTGATAGGCAGCAGTGAAATCTCTCTACATTTTTTCCTTTTTGGAATGTGTTTCTCAAATGTTATTCCTCAATATAGCCATTTTAATTGTTTCTATAGTTAAGTAGTTACTATCCTAGTGTCTCATTTTTATTTTACTTAGTTTACATGTTTTTAATAATTGTAAAGCGCTTAGAGATTTAAGGTAAGCGCTATATAAAAATGCATAAATAAATAAATAAATAAAGTGACTGTCTACTGCCCATGGCAATGGTAGCAAGGTGACTGTCTACTGCCCATGGTGGTAAAGTGACTGTCTATTGTCCATGGTGGTAAAGTGACTGTCTACTGTCCATGGTGGTGAAGTGACTGTCTACTGTCCATGGTGGTAAAGTGACTGTCTACTGTCTATGGTGGTAAAGTGACTGTCTACTGTCCATGGTGGTAAAGTGACTGTCTACTGCCCATGATGGTAAAGTGACTGTCTACTGTCCATGGTGCGAAAGTGACTGTCTACTGCCCATGGTGGTAAAGTGACTGTCTACTGCCCATGGTGGGAAGGTGACTGTCTACTGTCCATGGTGGTAAAGTGACTGTCTACTGCCCATGGCAATGGTAGCAAGGTGACTGTCTACTGTCCATGGTGGTAAAGTGACTGTCTACTGTCCATGGTGGTAAAGTGACTGTCTACTGTCCATGGTGGTAAAGTGACTGTCTACTGTCCATGGTGGTAAAGTGACTGTCTACTGCCCATGATGGTAAAGTGACTGTCTACTGTCCATGGCAGCAAGGTGACTGTCTACTGTCCATGGTGGGAAGGTGACTGTCTACTGTCCATGGTGGGAAGGTGACTGTCTACTGTCCATGGTGGTAAAGTGACTGTCTATGGCCCATGGCAATGGTAGCAAGGTGACTGTCTACCGCCCATGGTGCGAAAGTGACTGTCTACTGTCCATGGTGGTAAAGTGACTGTCTATGGCCCATGGTGGTAAAGTTACTGTCTACTGTCCATGGTGGTAAAGTGACTGTCTACTGTCCATGGTGGTAAAGTGACTGTCTATGGCCCATGGTGGTAAAGTGACTGTCTACTGTCCATGGTGGTAAAGTGACTGTCTACTGTCCATGGGGGTAAAGTGACTGTCTACTGTCCATGGTGGTAAAGTGACTGTCTAATGTCCATGGTGGTAAAGTGACTGTCTACTGCCCATGGTGGTAAAGTGACTGTTTACTGCCCATGGCAGCAAGGTGACTGTCTACTGCCCATGGTGGGAAGGTGTCTGTCTACTGTCCATGGTGGTAAAGTGACTGTCTATTGTCCATGGTGGTAAAGTGACTGTCTACTGTCTATGGCGGTAAAGTGACTGTCTACTGTCCATGGTGGTAAAGTGACTGTTTACTGTCCATGGCAGCAAGGTGACTGTACTGCCCTTGGTGGGAAAGTGACTGTCTACTGTCCATGGTGGTAAAGTGACTGTCTACTGTCTATGGCGGTAAAGTGACTGTCTACTGTCCATGGTGGTAAAGTGACTGTCTACTGTCCATGGTGGTAAAGTGACTGTCTACTGTCCATGGTGGTAAAGTGACTGTCTACTGCCCATGGTGGTAAAGTGACTGTCTACTGTCCATGGCAGCAAGGTGACTGTCTACTGCCCATGGTGGGAAGGTGACTGTCTATGGCCCATGGTACAAGGTAAAGTGATTTGGGTTAGTCGAACTAAACTCATATTAACTGTTGGAGCCTAAGATATAGTTTATATTGACTTGTTTTTTTTCTTCGAACGTTTAATTGGTATTGTGTACACAAGTTGGTTGAGAGATATTTCATCATAAAGATCCCGAACTAAAAATATCAATTATATTTCACTAGCTACAATTTAAAAAAGCACATTTGAATTATAAATATTGCCCACCTTCTTATGTGTTCAGTAGTGACATAGGCTCTCAACCTGATTGTTGTGAAGTTATAGATAATTCAACCCGGCCCCAATAACTGGAAGTGACTTGGGCTCTCAACCTGATTGTTGTGAAGTTATAGATAATTCAACCCGGCCCCAATAACTGGAAGTGACTTGGGCTCTCAACCTGATTGTTGTAAAGTTATAGATGATTCAACCCGGCCCCAATAACTGGACATGACTTGGGCTCTGACCTGATTGTTGTGAAGTTATAGATGATTCAACCCGGCCCCAATAACTTGACAAAGCTGGATAAAGGCTCCCAATCTGAACCAAGCTGGAAGTTGTGTTAGACCAGTGGTTTTCAACCTTTCTAAAGCCGCGACCCTTAAATACAGTTTCTCATGTTGTGGCGACCCCCAACCACAAAATTATTTTCATTGATACTTTATAACCGTAGAGCATATGTGTTTTCAGATCGTCTTAGGCGACCCCTTTAAAAGGGTCGTGCGACTCACAGGTTGAGAACGGCTGTGTTAGATAATAGCAAATGTTTAAGGAATAACTGTGACCAAAAAATCGTGTATTTTGAGATACTGGTTGACAAATGGTGGTCAAACTAATTTACTGCCCTTTGAATCATATATTAAGAAGATGCTTGATTACTTTGTTTCAGGAGGTAGAAGAGTTGTCTAGAAATGGAATCATTGTTAGCTACTCTGTGATGCACAATGGCCAGGTTTTGACAAGAGTTCCAGCTGGCATGTTCCAAGCTACAGTAGTTGTCCGATGTACTGACTCACCCCTGATGTTGAACATTTCAGCACATAATGGAGCTGGAGAATCAGTTCAGCCATCTGTGCTATCTATAGCTCCAGCCAACTTCTCAGGTAATCATTGATCCATCTGTTCTATAATTATCTCCAGCCTACTTCTCAGGTAATCATTCATCCATCTGTGTTATCATTAGCTCCAGCCAACTTCTCAGGTAATAATTCATCCATCTATGTTATCTTAAGCTCCAGCCAACTTCTCAAGTAATCATTCATCCATCCGTGTTATCTATAGCTCCACCCAAAGTCTCAGGTAATTATTCTAATTAGAATTGAACACTCTCACTTAACTCTTCATATAGGTAATAACTCTTTTTAAATCATTTTTTCTGTACAGTGAGGAGTAAAGTTAAAGATACTTTCTACATATCATGGTATAAAAACGGCAGTTTTCAAAGCTGGTGGCAGTCAGATGACCAGATAATGATGTACACTCTATTTTGGCTATCACCCTTCAATAAGGTATGGCTTAATAAAGACAATATTTTTTAATTCACTTAAAAGTTAAATCTTAATGCAACATTTTGAATGAAAAATTAAATGATGATGACTATAAATTTGAATACAAACTACCATACCTTGATATATATGAAAACCGATTTCTCTAAAGCATGACTTGGAAATTTTATTTGCATGTAAATTAGGATCCCATTGCTTGGCAAAATGTTTCTAGGCCTGGTGTGTTGTTTCCGCTGTCTCAAGACTTTACCAAAACTTATTTTGGAATCGCTGCAACTGATAGAACATCTGGCTGGACATCGGGCATCTTCTGGTCCAGTCAGTCTTTCAGAGCTGATCCAGGTATGAAAGTACTAGGTACCAGGTGTGCCAGTAGCTAGGTGCCAGGTATGCCAGTAGCTAGGTGTCAGATATGCCAGTGCTAGTTGTCAGATATGCCAGTGCTAGATGCCAGGTATGACAGGGCTAGGTGCCAGGTATGACAGTACTAGGTACCAGCTAGTGAATGATTGCTAGTGAATGATTGATAGTGAATAATTGCTAGTGAATGATTGCTAGCTAGGGAAAAATTGATAGCCAGTGAATGATGGTTGGCTAGTGAATTATGGCTAGCTAGTAAATGATTGATAGCTTGAAAATGATGGTCAGCTGCAGGTAATGAAAGTTATTTCATTCCTCTATGATGGTTGCTTCCTTGAAATGTTTATCTTATGTTTTCAGATGATATCAAATGTGTTCCGAACACTTTGAATGTGAATGGTGGAATACAGTCTGCCCTTGTTATGTGGGGCAAAGTTGACTGCCCTTACATTAGAGTAACTGGCTTTGTCCTCAAGTATTGCCTGATTGATGAGTGCAGCAGTAAGTATTTCTAACATCTCTACTTCTGCATTAGTAATTATATATTTACTGATGTAGGAAGTAATTATATCATCTTTACTGGGGCATTAATTTTATCATCTTTACTGATGCAGAAAGTAATACTATCATCTTAACTGCAGCATGATGTAATAGTATCATTTTTACTGTTGCATTAGTAATTATGTCATCTTTACTGCTGCAGTAATTAATATAGTCATTACTTCAGCTGTAATTAAGTATAATCTTTACTGCTACCTTAACTCATTTCATTTCTCTTCTATAAAAAACCAAAATCTATATTTTACCAGGTTTTTTTCCACTCATAAAATGTTTTATTATTAATTTTGTAAAGTATTTTATATTTATTTAATCATGCATTTGGAAGAAAAATAATGATAAAAAATTAAAAGATTTTAATCATTTTGATCTGACTTGCTTGTTTCAAAGACACGTTACACGTCAAATCAAGAGAAGCAATCTTTGGCACATTTTTGTTAAATGCAAATTGACATACAATGGCTATAAAAATGAGTATTGCTGCAGACCTGTTTTTTCTAACAATTTTGGCATACAATGTACAATTTTGTGGTGTACACATTATATATACTGTATGTTGTTTTTTACTATTAAGATAATGTATTGAATGACTTTTTGATGATATTGTACAATTTTAAGAGTTTGAGGGTGAACAAGTCTATTGCTTGTTAAAATATCAATTAATTCTATCTGAATCTTCTGAGGAAGATAATTGAATACTAGAATCAAGGGATTCTTGATCATATAATTGAAAACTAGAATCAAGGGATTCTTGATAAGATAATTGAATACTAGAATCAAGGGATTCTTGATCATGTAATTGAAAACTAGAATCAAGGGATTCTTGATAAGATAATTGAATACTAGAATCAAGGGATTGTTGATCATGTAATTGAAAACTAGAATCAAGGAATTCTTGATAAGATAATTCAAAACTAGAATCAAGGGATTCTTGATAAGATAACTGGAATCAAGGGATTCTTGATAAGATAACTGAAAACTAGAATCAAGTGATTCTAATTCATATTTCGAAAATAATTGAGTACTAGTATCAAGTGAAACTGATTGATATTTTGATGACAATCTTCTCTTACAGCCCAATTAAGTAGTAAATACCGGAAGGTTAGTTTTTCAAGAGTTGCATCATTCTATGTTTTTTATGGGCTCACAAGAAATTTATTTAAAAAAAAAAATAAAAAAAAAAAAACTACTGAAAAAATTAAAAGAATGTAATTTTGTTAAAGAGTTAAGTAAACATTATCTTTACTGCAGCAGTAAGTAAATATCATTTTCAGTGCAGTATTCTCTTACAGCCCAATTAAGTATTAAATACAGGATGGTTAGTTTTTCAAGAGTTGCATCATTTTATGTTTTTTATGGGCTAACAAAAAATTTATTTAAAAAAAAAAATAAAAAAAAAAAAAACTACTGAAAAAATTAAAAGAATGTAATTTTGTTAAAGAGTTAAGTAAACATTATCTTTACTGCAGCAGTAAGTAAATATCATTTTCAGTGCAGTACTTGTTACAATTTCCCCTTTAGTGTAGTAAGGTAGAAAATTATAATCTCATCCAGGCTGATTTACCTTTGATATAAACCGTCTCAAATTCCTAAGCATTGGGGTCTAACTTCATTTAATGATATAAAATATAAATAACCTTACAAAATGAAAAGTAATATATACAGTATTGACAACAATAATTTTTTTATCATAGTAAGAATAAGCTTTCAAATTTAATATTTGAAGCTAAATACCAATGCCCGGGTACATGTTCACAAGTTTCCTGTCTTAACCATTGTCACAGACTAATAGTTTTATGTCACCGAAAAATAGTTTTCTGTCTTAATCATTGTCACAGACTAATAGTTTTATGCCCTTAACCACTGTCACCGAATAATAGTTTTCTTTCTTAATCATTGTCACAGACTAAAAATTTCGTCTTAACCATTGTCACAGACTAATAGTTTTCTGTCTTAACCACTGTCACTGAATAATAGTTTTCTGTCTTAACCATTGTCACAGACTAAAAATTTCCTGTCTTAAACATTGTCACAGACTAACGGTTTACTGTCTTAACCACTGTTACGGAATAATATTTTTCTGCCTTAATCATTGTCTCAGGCTAACACCTTTAGTACTAAATAAATAGTCTTTGGTCCTGATTGGACATTTACTGTGCGATAGGAGGGAGTTGGTTCATGAACTCTAAAAGTCATTAAATTATTTGATTAAAATATTTTAAGAATTTAGGAGAGAAATATCTCTAAAAAAAATAATTTTATGTATAACTTTGGTGCTAATAAAAATATGACTTTTTGTTGACCAGCTTCAATGAAGGCTCTAAACTTGTCAGCTTCCCTGACTATGTACACGCTGCAGTCCCTTGCGGCAAATGGAAAGTACACGGTCATCTTCCAAATTAAATCTGAGAACAAACTAGGACTTGAAGTCCAAAGAGAAGTAGTTACACTAGCTCCAGGTGGGTCATTGGAAGTAGTTACACTAGCTCCAGGTGGGTCATTAGAAGTAGTTACACAAGCTCCAGGTGGGTCATCAGAAATAGTTGAACTAGCTCCAGGTGGGTCATTCGAAATAGCTATGCTAGCTCCAGGTGGGTCATTATGTACAAAAGAACTGGCAAATTTATCAGAAAACTAAATAAAATCATATTAATCTAAGGTCATAAAAATGAAGTCATTGAATGTTAACTTTGATAACTAGTTTGATCTGTTTATTTCTCTTGTTTAATCATCTAGAAAAGAAAAAAACAGTCACCATTATGAAATTATAAATTTTTCCCACAAAGTATTTTTCTATGGTATTTATTTTTACATTTTTGTTTAAATGAAAGTTTTGTTGATTCTAGGCATAAGTTAATTTGATGTTTCAACAATTGGTGGTTGTCTCTCTTAAATATATTTTCATCATTTATACACCGGTTGTCTTTATAATACTTTATTATTTTTTTTTAAAAATGGAAATTTTAATTAAACTTTTCACCATCACATTTAGAGATTGTTCTTTAATACATTTCTCTCTTGCTTTAAATGTTATATTTCCAGAAGACAAGACAACCACCGTTGTGGTGATAGTTGTAGTCATAGCTATGACTTTACTCATCATCGCCTGTGGTGTCTTCGTGTGGTAAGTCAAACAAGGATTAATTAGGCTATTTCTTGTGTACATTTATTGTTACAAACCATTAGGAATGAATTTTCATTCTAATGACTTGGATCACTTGTGCTTTCATCACTCTATGTACTTTTGTAATAAGGATTTAAAAGTTAACAACATCCATTTTGTAAAAAATGTTTAATTTTAATGATAAAATATGTAGGGTAAAAACGATGTTCATTTTTTTATAACTTGTGTAAGTTACCTTATTAGGTTAATGCAAAATTTAAAAAAGAATTGCATTGAGTGATCAGTACATTAGAGATTCACACCTTTTATTTCTGATGAACAGGAAATGCAGACAGTCTAAGTTGAGAAATAAAAAATACCAGTTTGATGATACATTTTGCGCACAGATGGACAAGGTGAGTGATGGCTTACTTGTTATTTAGGATACAATAAAAATTAACTTTAAAGAATCCTTTCTTACCCCTTCCCCTTTGTAGCACCCCATGTAATTTTGACCTCCTGCTA